ATTGTTCAAATGATCATAGCCGATTAGTAAATATCACGGAGTAAAAAATTTTCGTATATGTAATTACGTTTTTCTGTTTGTCGTTAAAAATTATTTCATAATTTTTATTAATGTGATGATCATTTGAAAAATTAATTTTATAAAAATTTAACGAGGTTTATTCGATTAAAATTCTTAAAGTAATAGCAGAAAGAATTTTCCGCCGTAAAAGGAAAATAAAAATTATACAATAGATCATTCCATCTCTAATTAAAGTTAAGTGTTCTCTCAATCTAATACTTGGCCACACAAAAATACAGGGAAAAGACATGTCTTTACACCAACAAATCCCCATTATTCTTCTCTAATCCAAATCACATCGCGTGCTTCTCGGATCATGTCACAACTCGAAACACAAAGTTGACATATTTTTTCAAAATTTTAGTAGTTCAGTGGTCAAATTAGATCATTTTTGTCTCGGGACCTTTTATTTTTTTTCATCATGTGAGAGTTAAAATTAATTTCTGTTTATCTACTTCTAGATTAATTATCTAAATTTTGAGTTTGATTTCTTATTCTGTAATTCAGTCTTTCATTTTTCATTCTCTTATCTCTAGTTTCCTTTAAAACAAAAAAAATTAACAACTTTTGTAAATTTTGTTCTATATTGACATAACACACCCTTTAATAAGCAATAAATAGNATATTATTTTTTAAATACAATAAATTTAATGCTTTAAGAAAAGTATTGGAACTAAGTGATAAATTATCTCTTAATTTTCTAAATTGGATAGTGAAATGAACATCTATTTTTACGATAGTGGCCAAATAAAAGTAGACGAAGGGATTATGTACTTCCTCCATATTGTTTGTCTTGATTTTTAAGAATAATTATCTCAAATTATTTATGATTTTAGGAGTTCAAGACAAAATTAGTTATTTTTTCATTATACCTTAAAAGTTATTTCTTTCGTTTTAAAATATGTGATTTTTTTAGTTTAGACACACTCTTTGACAGGACTACACATTCTTAGAAAGTAAAATGTACTTTTATCAACTTACCCTTAATAAATAAGTTGAAAAAAATGTGCTAGTTCTAAAGTACTCTCTCTGTTCTCTTTTAGTTATCATGATTACTAAAAATAGTCATTCTAAAATGCTTGTCAATTTTAAAAATTAAAAAAGAAAATTAATTATTTTTTCAACTTTGCCCTTTACATTAATTATTTTAGAATTAAGAAGTACATAAATAGATAAAAATTAAAGAAGTAGTAAGAGATATAATAATCAAATTATACTCATAATTAATTTTTTCTTAAAGGTTGTGCAATATTTTATCCGGACAACTAAAAAAAAATGGGAGAGTAGTTTCTTGGTTATGTAAAACTTTCTTTAATTGAATAAGGATAAAATAGAAGAACATCATTAACGCCTTCTTGATTATAAGAAATACCACTTATTTTAAAATAAGATAAAAATATAAAAACATCATTTATTTTAAATGTAAAAAATATTATACTTTAAAATTATA